TAAGTAAAATATTTTTAAATATTATACTAAGCTATTAAAATATTTACTTTTTATTTATTATTAATATTAAATACTTAGGGTTTATAATAGCTTATATAACTATATTTTAAAAGTTAAGTTTAATATATATATTAAATAAGGTATATAAATATAATATAAAATTATAAAGCCTTATACCCTTATATATTAATTATACTAATATAACTAGTTTATTTTTTATTAATAAAAGTAATTTATAAAAATAATATTTTATTAATCTTAAGTAATTAAATAATACTTAATAAATAATAAATTATATTTAATATATTTAGTACTTTAATTAATTAAGCTAAGGGACTGCCCCTTTATATTTTCTTAGTAATTAAAAGTAATATTATAAAATATTATTATTATTAAATAAAAGGTAATAAAAGTAATATTATAATTATTATAAATAAATTAAGACTATATTAGTTATTAACTTAGTAAAAAACCTAGTATTTATTTTACTAAAATTAACTAAGTTTACTTTATTTATTTTAATAATATTATTAATTAATTTATACTTAGGGTTATTATTATAATACTATAGGGTATTTTTATTATTTACTAAAATTAAAAATCCTAAATCTTTTTTTTATATTATATTAATTTACTTTATTTACTTTTTATACTTTTTAAATTATATTTTATTTTTTTCTAAAGGTTTTTATTTTTTAAAAACTATAAAAGTATTAATTTATTAAGAATTAAAAATAGGTTTTATATTATTTTATAACTTATTAATAAGTAGTTAATTATAATTAAAAGCTTTATAATTTTATATTAGGTAATTATATAATTATCCCTATAGGTAGTTATTTCTATAGCTATTATTTTATATATAAATATTAAGCTTATTAAATTAAAAAGTAGTAATTTACTTTTTTTATATTAATACTTTATTATTTAAGTTATTAAGTTATTAATATAGCTTAACCTATTAATTAGGTTTAATTACCTTTAGATAAAGTTATAAGTTAAGATAATTTTATATTTATAAAAGTACTACTTAGTTATTATTAAAACTATATAACTTAGCTAAGTATATAACTTTTATAATAAAAATATAAACTTACTTACTTTATTAATATATATTAAAGTTATATTATAGTAGCTTTAGTTTTTTTTATATATAATTAATATTTATTTAAAATTAAGACTTTAGTACTTTTATTTATTAATAAAGGAAAGGTTTTATTTTATATTTTTAAATAGTATTTTTTAATAATTATATATAATATTATTCTAAAGCTTTACTTTATAATAAAAAAACTATATTTTTATAAATATTATATTAATAACCTATAGTTATATAATCCTTAAGTATATTTATAAAAAAATAAATATTTTTATAAAAATAAAATTAGCTTTTATAAAATATATTATTAAGTTTATTTATATTTAGCTAAAAAAAGCCTATTACCTTTAGTTAAAATTTAATACTTAAGTACTTAATTAATAAATTTAATTTATTTAATAATATATTTTTATTATAATAATAGTAATATTAATAATAACTTTATTTTTTATTTTTTTATTTATTCCTAAAGCTTTTAAAAAAGTTTAAACTTAATAAAGAAAATAAAAATAAGGGGTAATATAATTAATTAATAAATTATCTTAACTATTTATAATTTTTCTTTCTTAATTACTTAGCTAAGGATTAATAAGCCTTAGTTTATTATTTACTTAAACCTAATATTATTATTTCTTTATTTTTTTTTTATAAAGGATTTTTTATTAAAGTATATAAATATTTAAAAGCTTTTTTATTATTTAAGGTATTATTTACTTATAATTAATAATAAAAACCTTATAGGTTAACTTTTTAAAATATTAATAAATAAATAATTTTAGTTAATTTATTAACTATAGTTTTTAATACTAAGCTTTTAACTTTCTACTTTTTATTATTTATAAAGTTTTAATATAGCTTTTTACTAATTAATTTTATTTTATTAAAATAATATTAATAACTTAGCCCTACTATATTTTATAATATTATTTTAGCTATATTTAAGGCTTATTAATAAATAAGGGTTTTTTTAATTAATAAAAATAATATTAATTTAAAAAAAATAAGTAACTAAGGCAGTGGGTAATATAAAGGTAGTAATAAAAGTTTTATTTTTAGTTATAGTAAATAAAATAATATATTTATTAATAAATAAGCTAAGAGTATAAAAGGGTAAAAAAAAGTTAAGTTTTAGGGGAAGCTAGTTTTTAAAGTAGTATTTAACTTTATAATATTATTAACTATAGCTAAAATAAGTAAAGTATTTATAGTATTTTTTATAATAAAAGTTAATATTACTTTTATAAAGAAGTACCTACTTTTAAAATAAAATATACTTTTTATATTTATTCCCTTTATAATAAAATTATTTTATAATTTATTAATAAAAAATAATATTATTAATTTATTACTTAATAATAGTAATAATAAGGAGAAATTAGTTATTTATAAAATAATATTAAAATAACTATTATAAGTATTTTTTAATATAATATTAAGGAATATTAAGGGTAAAAATAATATTAATAATTTTTATATAATTACTATTAGTATTAATATATTAGTTACTTACTTAAGTAGGAAAGGTTAGAATAATAAACCTTATAATTATATCTTTCTCTATAGCTTAATTAATAAAGTATATTACTTAAAAGTTTAATTATAGTAAAATATTAGTAGCTTTTATTATTTTATTATAGTAAACCTTTTTTATAATAGGTAATAATAGCTATATATTTTTAAAAAATAAATAATTACTTATAATTCTAAAGTAGTATTTATTAATAAGTAATAATAGCATTATTATTATTATTATTATTATTACTAATTAATAATAGCTTACTAAGTAGTTAGACTTAAAAATTATTAAGTAGTTTTATTCTCCTAGCTTATTAATAGTTTTATATATTAGAAAATAATTAGAATATATAATTATTACTAATTATTACGCGGGTTTTAAAAAAAAGAGGTTATTAAGGTAAAAAACTTGATATTTTACTAATAAGTAGTGACTATTATTTATAACTTAGCTAAGGATAACTTATTAGGTGAGTTATTATAACTTAATAACTCTTATTAAGTTAAATTTTATTAATAAATTTAAAAGTAACTAAAAACTATATAATAGTATATATAGTTAATAAAGCTTATCTTTAGTAAAAAAAGTAGGAAAAAGCTATTTATACTTATAATAATAACTAATTATAATTTTAAAATAAACTTTATAAATATTAGTACTTAACTTTAAAGTAGCTTAGGTTATAATTATTAATTTTATAAAAAAGGTTAATAAGTATTAGTATAGTTCTTCCTCCTTAATATTTACTTTATAAATAGCTATAAGCTTTAACACTAGGGTTATCCTAGCTAGGAGGTTATTACTAGTTAGGTTAAGTAGTACTCCTGCCTTTATAGTAATATTTTTAAAAAGTATAGCTATTAAGGATTATTAAGGCAGAGATTTTAAACTAGAGATATTTATATACTAATTTTATAGTATAATTATGTTTTTTAGAAGAAGCAGGCAGCTTATGCAGGTTACTAAGGCCTATACATTAGGGAAATTTAATCGCAATCGCAATTATAACCTTTTACTAAAAAAAAGGCACGCGGTATTATAACTTTTTAGTACTATAATAAGTATAATATAGCTATTTATACCTAGTCTAAATACTAGTACCTATATTATACGCTAATTTCTATATAATTAGAAGTACCTCTTTTTTTCTAGGGTCTGATTAGCTACTGTTAACCCATAAATATATACAATATGCCTTAGCTGCTTCAAAGGGATATCCTGCGACATTAATTATTAGTATTTGTATGAGCTAGTAACTGAGTGCCTGGCTGCTCGTGTTCTGCTAGGACGGGCCAACACTGCCACGTGAAGATAACTTTTTGAAGCATTGGTGACTTTCATACTTGCAAGTGAGTGTTGTACGAATACGGAGTAACACAAGTATTCTTCAGATAGTACCCGAGAGAGAGAGCCTCTCAATATCGATTTGGCTCTTTGGACGTAACCGTTGGTTCTCGCAAATAGGCAACAACTCAAACATAGAATTTACAGCGGCCTCATGACTGGAAGAGGAGAAGATGGCTATCGGAATTGAATATGTTATCCGACGATAATATAAAAGTCGTCTGCTCCCGGTTAGGATCTCTCGCAAGCAGCAGCAGCACACCGGATATTATCCGCTTGGCCCTTATTCTTCCATTGAGAGCCACCAACAACAAGAATTCAGCTACATAGCAGCAATTGTAAATATCACTTATCCCTTAATTCTCTTAGAGCCTATGTACATGCAGAGAATCCACAAGTGGGCGTTGTGCCGGTTGGCTGAATGATCGTCAATGTCCTCCATCTCGCCATCACCGAGTTCATCCCTTTCAGCAGCTGTACCCAGTACCTTATGCACTAGCTAACCCCCCTCAATCGCTACTACTACCTGGTAATGACTGCCCCGCCATCAAGGTACCCAGTACTCCTAATCACTAAAATGGAGCCCTCACAGAGCCTCTGACGTACTAAACTGCCCTGTGCACCCAGCAACCACATTAGCAGTACCAATCAGGAAAGCTGTAAACACGGCAGAGCCGCCCTTGATGCGACACCACCGCCTCCCTCTATCTCTCTATCCACATCCATCTGTCTATCTACATATCTTTCCGCACGGGCTGTCAGCGCATCGCCAAACTCCCCAACTCGCTGCCCGGCATCGCATGAGCATTTTACATTCTACCGGCATTTCATCCTCGCATCGTCTGGTGTCCAACCCCTGGCGCGCTCCTCCGACTGCCAGCTCCCAATATTGCATCACTAGCATTTGCTCCGTGAGCCGTCTTCCTCCATCCTTGACATGCCATTCATTGCCCCGCTAACCAGTTGGTATGGAACGCAGACCGTCGTATTACATCTTAGCTTGCCAAACGTCACGACCAAAACCCCGACCCTCGCCTCGCCATGGCCCAGTTCCTGCAGACAGTGTCAGTCAACCCTCACTCGTATGTGCAGTTTCGTCGTCGCCGTCAACATGCCCTTGTCCCTATTTCAATACCTCAGTCCCAGGTCTCGCGCCAAGATGGAGAGGCCGGACAGCACCATATTACCCATTTACGAAGACCCCCCGCTCAAGCCTGTGCTGAATACCGTGTTTGCTGATGGCGAAATATTTCTGAGCAGCAACCAAAAGACTAGAAATCAGTTCCGCCCGCGCGCTGGAAAAGGTGGCGTCAACAGTTATCAGTTAAGGCAGTATGCCGAAGCCACCCTAGGAGGAGGCAGCTTGAGAAAGTGTGTCAAGCTGCCGGAAGGCGAGGATGAGAACGAATGGTTGGCAGTCAACAGTGAGTTTGTCGTCCACAATTCGTGCCAGGCAAAACCGGAAGACGTAACATGACATGGCCAGTGGTGGATTTCTACAACCAGATCAACCTTCTCTACGGTGCCATCACCGAGTTTTGCTCGCCGCAGTCATGCCCCGAGATGAAGGCCACGGATGAGTAAGATATAAAATCCACGTCCCAAGCGTCACAGCTCTTGGAAGCGAATCTGACAAGGTCAGGTTTGAATATCTCTGGCAAGACAGCGAAAATTATAAGCGGCCGACCAAGATGGCTGCGCCAGCCTACATTGAACAGCTGATGACGTGGGTTCAAGCCAACATCGACAATGAATCCGTCATGCCCAGCAAGATTGGTAAGTGGCTTGTTTTGAGTTGTGGCACTCAGTGCTCGACATGACTGCTGATGATAATCGTAGGCGTTCCTTTTCCTAAATCCTTCCCAACTCTAATTCGTCAGATCTTCAAGCGAATGTACCGCGTGTACGCGCACATCTACTGCCACCACTATCCGGTAATCCGGGAGCTGGGGCTGGAACCTCATCTCAACACCAGCTTCAAGCAGTATGTGCTTTTTATCGATGAGCATAGCTTGGCAAGCGGGCGGGATTACTGGGGTCCTCTGGGAGACCTCGTTGATAGTATGATGAAGAGTGATTGATCGAGGGTTGCTTCACGCTTCATTACACCTTTCTTTTTGTGTTTCTGTTTAGTTCATCTCTGCAAAATTGCGATAATGCTTGATAGGGAGCAAGGCAAGGCGTTAGGATATTGTAGATTTGGGAATAAGGGCCTGAATCGATAGTGTTGGGTCGATCGATCGGGCAGAGTCGGGTAAAGGGCACCGGCAAGGACAATCAATTAGTATGCGGCCAGAAGATGGTGCGGTTTGGACACTTTGATTTATAAATCATTGAGTAAATTCATACATCACGAGAAGAGAATAATCAGACGCGCCGCATGATACATAATAAATAATAAAAAAATAAAAAATAAAAAAATATTAAAATACAAAAGCACCGTTGAGTCTTCTGATGTTTGTGTGTTTGAACGCACCTATCTTAGTACCTGGTAGTGCCTGTATTTCATCGAGACTGAATTACATAAGCAGAAAAGTTGGTGCCTCACCCGCTCGGCAAGGCATCCACATCCAAAATTGCCGGCCGCAGAGAACCTCAACCTCGAAAAGCGATCTCTACGAACGCCGGTCTCTCACCACCTTCGACGCCCATCCAATCCTCCACGGCCGCCATGCTGTCGCGACAAGTCTTCCGCTCCCTCAGGGCCGCTGCCCCTCAGCGTGCCGCCGCTCTCAGTGTTGCTCCGGTCCGAACCTTTGCTGCCGCCGCCAGCGAGCCCAAGGCTCCCATTGCCGTCTTCGGTCTCGATGGCACCTACGCCACTGCTCTGGTACGGCCTCTCCCCCCCGGATGGAAAAAAATGGTGTTTCTCGATGCTCCGGATGGCAAAGCTGCCAATTGCATACTTTTCCTGAGCGCTGCGGCTTCGGGCGTCGAGGAATTGGCATCACCACCAACGAATGGCTAATCCTTGCGTCAATTTTAGTACACTGCGGCCTCCAAGACTTCCACCCTCGATGCCACCGCTAAGGAGCTCGCCAAGCTGGGCGGCATCCTCGAGAAGGACGCCAAGCTCGTCGGAATCCTGTCTGCTCCCACCCTGACCCCCGCCGACAAGTCTGCGATTGTTGCCGAGCTCATCAAGCAGGCCGGTGCCAGCGGCGCCACCCTCAAGAACTTCCTCGACACCCTCGCCGAGAACAACCGACTGGGTCTCCTCAAGGGCGTCACTGAGAAGTTTGGCCAGATCATCGCTGCTGCTCGTGGCGAGGTTGAGATGACCGTTACCAGCGCTCAGGTGCGTCATACCTTGGATTTGAACATCCTTCAATCAACCCTCGACGTTTGAAACGACACGGCAATGTCGGAATCACGCACTCAAGAAGATGAAGTATAATTCTAACACGAATCTCTGTAGGCTCTTGACCCCAAGACTCTGTCTCGCCTGGAGACTGCCGTTGCCAAGTCCTCCTACGTTGGCCAGGGCAAGAAGCTCAAGGTCACCAACGCTGTACGTTGACGCCCTTCTATATATGGGAGGGCATTGGCTCCCTCTGCTTCTGTATTTGAAAACGTCAACTCACAAATCAATGTTCTAGGTCAACCCCGAGATTGTTGGTGGACTCATTGTCGAGGTCGGCGACCGAACCATCGACCTCAGCGTCTCCGCCCGCATCGCCAAGATGAACAAGCTCCTCACTGACAACCTGTAATTTATTCATGTATAAAAAATTATCAAAACAAAGAATCCCCTTTGTTGAAACTTTTCCCCCTTTTGCCTCAACTAAAGGGGCTGAGTTTTTATAAACATCCAAAAAAGGCTCAATTTTTTTTTAAAACCAACGAAGCCCCCCACCAAAACATGTATAGAGGTTTTTTTGAGCTTGGGACAAGAAGTGATGCGGATGTGTTTTTTCTCGGGTGGTTTGTATGCGTCCATATTTTCATCTGGGAGGAGGGGGCGCAAATAGCTGCCAGCCAGGGGGGGAGAAGAGATGCTGTTGATTGGTGGCAACAGCATGTGCAAATAGAAGGCAAGTTTTTTTTTCTAGAAAATGAAGAAATGGCTTTTCTGTACACAAGCTCATGTGATGTGATCTGTCTCTGTAAGAAGAAATGCTTCGAATCAACTCAATGCGGCGCATCTTTTTCAACTGCTCATATATATTCAAGTAAAAACATAACTAACAAAATCATATACCAAGGCATGACCCAATTTGTATCCTCCAAAATCTTATACCAAACACATCTTCTTGCCTTGTACTGTAGTTCTAAATACAATATAGATCAAGCTACACCGATTTTTTGTTTTGAAAAATCCAAAATACCCTCCTCACACGACACCAGCAGAAGCCACTACTCAGCTCGAGCCTCAAACTCTTCTCCTTCGTAGCCATTTTCGCCGTTTGTATACCTTGAGAGCTGGTCAGAAATGTAGCGATGCATATGGCTGTCCGCTTCTTCCTTCTCCTTGGCCCTCTCCGGATCGTCGTGGTGAACCGAGTTGGCGACAGACCGCGCGTCGTCGTCAGTTCCGTTGACGGAGAAGTCAAAGTCGCTTCTGGCACCGATGGAGCGGGCCGTTGATGAACGTCTGATATGGCGCCTGCCACCACCGGGGTGAGGAACGCCCTTGCCCACTTGTCTCTGGAAGATATCGTCAAAGTAGTGCGCCATGGTGGCGGAGGGCGTTCGTGGAGTCTGAGGCAGACGACAGTTGATACTTTGTTTGATTCAAATTAGTCAACCATTCCAAAAAAAGAAAACAAGTCATCCATCTATCTGTACTTACCCTGTGTCATGGATCAACCGAGCAATTAGACCAGTCCATCCCGTCTGATGACTGGCACCGAGACCCCTTCCACTGTCGCCATCGAAGAACTCATAGAACCAGAGGTAGTCCTTCCAGTGCTCGTCATAGTCGAGGCGATCGTCACCAGCGTTGATGCTGCGCCTGCCGTAGTCATCTCGAGCAAAGAGATGCTGTAATCGGTGCTGGATCTCTTCCGAGACCTTGCCCAAATGCATGTAAATGCCACTGCCAGTGGGGCATTCGACCTTGAAGTCAGGTCCATAGAAGAGGTAGAATCGCTGGAGTGACTCGATCAACAAAAAGTTGACGCAAAGCCAGATTGGTCCTCTCCAGTTGCTGTTGCCGCCGAAAAGCCCAGTATCGGAGTCTCCTGGGACGTAGCCAACCGTGAACTCTTGCCCCTTTACTTCCATGGAGAAGGGGTTCTCTTTGTGAAATTTAGACAGCGAGCGGATACCATGGTCACTGAAGAATTCATCCTCATCTAGCATCCTTTTTAGGATCTTCTCCAAACGCTCCTTGCTGACGATTGACAAGAGGATACGGTCGCCTTTCCCTCTCTTCCTGATGCTGGCCATGTTCCTCTCTGCCAAGTCGCAACGGTTTGCAATAAACCATTCGACCCTCTTCTTGAACGAGGGCAGCTTGTTAATAAGCTCAGGTTCAAGAGTTGCGGTGGCATAAAGAGGAATGAGGCCGACCAAGGACCTCACAGGTAGCTGCTGAAGCCATGGGCCACCCCAGGAAATGGCATCATAGTAAAAGCCGTCCTCTTCGTTCCAGAGAGACTGTTCATCTTTCTGGCCTGTGCGGAAGGTCATGGCATCGCTGATGAAGATGAAGTGCTCAAAGAACTTTGAGGCAATGTCTTCGTAGATTCGGCGATGCTTGGCAAGCTCAAGTGCAATGTTGAGCATGGACAGGCAGTAAAACGCCATCCAACCAGTGCTGTCAGCCTGTTCAAGGACACCTCCCGTGGGCAGAGGCTCAGAACGGTTGAACAGACCGATATTATCGAGTCCCAAGAAACCACCCTCAAAGATGTTCTTGCCATCGGCATCTTTTCGATTTACCCACCAGGTGAAGTTGAGCAGAAGCTTCTGGAAAACTCGCTCAAGGAAATCGAGATCCTGGCGTCCGTACAGCTTTCTCTCAATCTTGAAGGTTCTGAAAGTGGCCCAGGCATGGACGGGAGGATTGACATCACCAAAGTTCCATTCGTATCTGTTGTAAGTGTTAGCACCACGGATGATTGACATGATTAGTTGCAAATATTTCAGAAAGGGTCGCTTACGCAGGCAGTTGACCATTGGGATGACAGTACCACTCCCTGGTAAAGAGATCGAGCTGCTTCTTCGCAAAATCCGGGTCAATCTGTGCCAAGGGGATGCAGTGGAAGGCGCTGTCCCAGGCAGCAAAGAATGGATATTCCCAAGAGTCGGGCATAGACAGGATATCGTCACAATGCATATGCTTCCACTGTGAGTTTCGGACACCCATACGATCTGTAGGCGGAGGAAGAGTGCCGGGGTCTCCCCTCGCCCACTGGTCCCAGATAAAGTAATAATGCTGCTTTGTCCACATCATGCCTGAGAAGGCTTGTCTCTGGATATTGCGCAAGTCATCAGATAGCGGGAGAGGACTGATTCTGTAATAGAACTCATCCGCTTCCTCTCTGCGTTTTTCAATGATGTCGTCAAATTCTTCTTCATCGAGGTACGACTCATCACGTTTTGTGAATCGGAAACGAACGACTGCATGTGATTGTTAGTCCGCAAACAGATACGATATACTCTACAGGATGGATCACATACCGGCGCATTCACCAGGACTGACACCGCCATCCTCGTTGAAGTTGTACCAAGCAGCGCATTTGGTGCCTGTTTGGGCAGGGTTAATAGCTTCCTTTTCTCCACCGACAATGTACCTGTGGAAGGCATCCTTGACGTAGGGCTGTTCGTTCGGCTGTTCGTAGAGGAGCTCGGTATTGGTGTCGTTTTCAGTAAACATCAGCTTAGGCATGACATCTGTTCCCGAGCTGCCGACGCCAGGAGACGGAGAGAGAAGAAAGTATCGCTCTCCAAGCTTCCAATGCTTTGATTTGGCCGAGTCTTCGGTATGGGCCGCAATCGATGGCTTCTTTTCATCCGGCTCTCTGCCCCAGGTCCAGGTGTTTCGGAACCAGACGTGAGGTACGATGTGGAGGGGGGCCGGGTCAGGGCCTCTGTTCCAGGCGGTAACACGGAAGAGGAGCTCATCTGGATCGTCAGACTCCTTGGCCGTTTCAATGAAGATGTCCCAGTATCTATCTTCGTCAAACACCCCAGTATCGAGAAGCTGGTATTCTTTGTCGTTTCTGGTTCTCCGAGCATTTTCCTTGATGAGATCATCATAAGGGAACGGCTTTTGGGGGTATTTGTAAAGGAACTTCATGTAAGAGTGCTGGCTTTATGTTAGTATCGAGAGGACATGGGGTTCTAGTGTTGAGTTGAGACGTACAGTCTAGCGAAGTAAGTTAGCGTTATTCATCAGCACAGAAAATGGTTGTTGGCTTACGGGAGTGTTATCGACATGAAAGTGGGCTTCCTTGACACTCTCGCCGTGGTTTCCTTGAGGGTTAGAAAGTCCAAAGAGACGCTCCTTCAAAAAGGGACTGGTTTAGAGATTAGGACCATGTTGCGTTTCGTTGAGGATCGGGGTCGGGATGGCATACTCTTCCTCGTTCCAGAAGGCAAAGCCAATATTTTGAAATCCATGTGTATCCGAGACACCGGCAATGCCATCTTCACCCCATCTGAAAGCTCGAGATCGTGCATCGTCGTGCGTGAAGTCTAAGGAAGAAGAAGATTAGAGCTGGTTCCAAATCCACAGAGAAGGAATATATGGACAACATACAACTCCACGCGTCTCCATCGGCACTGTAATCCTCTCGTACTATCACAAGAAGTTAGCATTGCAATCGCGTTGTGGTTTGGGCCTCCCAGCCGAGCAGAGGCTACCTGTTGCCCATTGCCTCTCGGCGACGTAGGGCCCCCATTTCTTCCAGTACTTGGTTTTCTCTCTGTCCTCTTTCAAACGCCTCTCTTCCTCGGTGAGGTATTCGTGGCCATCGTGAACAACCATTGTGCAGGAGGGATGGAGGAGGCAGCCCGTCTGGCAAGTCTAGCAGAAGCCGCGGTGATCCGGATCGCGATGCCGGCTGGATATGCCGGGGAGAGACAGCGGAGGACGGACTCGACGCAGGAGAGGAGAAGAAGCACGGAGAGATTGCGTGATGAGAAAGGAGAAGAGGAGGGAAAAGGAAGAAGAGCTGCAGCTGGAGCTTGGAGCTTGTATAAAGCGTCCTTGTCAATGGCAGGGACAAGCAATAGCCTATCAGCAATGAGCTACTTTCTCCCTCCTGGAGAGCTTGGTTTTACGAGGCGCAAGTCCAACGTGGGGCTGGCGGGAGGATGGAGGGGCACAAGTGAACACAGGCAGATTATAGTGGTTGCACCACCACCTCAACTGCAGCTGTTGGTGCCTAATGGCCGTGATGACGATTCCGTTTTACCGCCAAGTTAGTGACCTTGATAGCAGGTATAAACCATGGAACGGCGCTGTCGTTGACCGGGTTTACGTGGGCGTGATTGCACCTTGACTTCACCTTTGCACGATATAAACGGAGTGTTCCCCCGGGCCCCATGTCAGCTAACCCACGGTTTTTGACACCCAACGGTCTCACGTCTCGCTGTCAACATGACGTCGTTGTCCAGCGGATAACAGCGCACCGGGGCCAATGGCGGCGCTTGCGACCATTGATAGCAGGCTTTTCTCGCAGCATCTCTGCATAACTATGGGTTTTTTGCCCAACAGTCCAGTCTGCTTTGCATAAGGACCCCTAGCCGACGCCCATTGGAGTCCGTTCGAGCATGAGCACGAAAGTCGCCGTGAGGAGAAGCAGGAATTGAATTGGACTGCGATATGAAGGAGTGACGTCAGGACTTTTACGGCCACGGCTACTGGTCAAAGATTGGAGTCGAGTCAGCAATCGAATCCGACGACGAGCGGATATCAAGTCTCGAAATTGATAGCCTGTGGGCAGAGGCGCTACTGTAGACTAGCAGCAGTATCGGACCAGCTAAAAATCAGCACGACAGAGAACCCAAGGCTAATGTAAAAACTAAAGAAAGTAGGTAGTCGGCACTAAGACAAAGCGAGGGCGCCGTTGGAAATCCTGGAAATCCTGGAATATTTGGAATGTGGCGGGAATATGGATAACATGGACTCGAAGAACCAGGGCTGTTCATGGTAAAACTCCTACTGGTGAGATCATCAGGCACCGGAGTCAGCCACCGAGGCTGGTGGCCAGGGGGGAGGGTTCAAGGTTTCATTCTCACTATTGCCCATTGTAGGGCTCAAGCTCTGTTGGGCCTGTATCCATGCATCCATGGAGTAAAAACCCCCAGCTGTACATACCGGTGGGCGCTGGGTAAATAATCTACAGAACATTGATTAGGTAAATTTTATTATTAACAACGTGCTGTAAATCATTGCTACCAATCCGTAGTTATGAGTCCAAGCATCGGTGTAGACACGAGACATCCAGAATCACCAAATCGGTTGAATCTCGTAATCATCAATTTCATGTGCTTCCAGCCCATTTCCCAGCCAAGCAAGGCAAGGGGGCCGCTGTCTCGCCTCGGATTTGCTGTCGATATGCCCCTGTCCCAGATCTCCGAGCCCGCCAAAAGCCTGCGCTAGAGCGGCGAGGCGCTGAACAACAAATGTGGCCAGTTGAGCTTCCGCCTAGCTTCGCCACAGCATTTTCGCGGCCCTTTGATCAAATCAAATCTTTGTCCACCTCGGTGATTTCGCCTCCAAATCCTCTGGCCTGCGCCGATTGTTGATTCCAGCCTTCATCATGTTCTACTGAAGCTCTCGTTTTTTCTTGCTCTTGAATTCTCTCCATCCTTTGCTTAATTTAGCCCTTTCTTTTCTTTTCCTGTCTTCCCTCAATTTAAAGCCGTCTAATTAAAACAGGAAAACTAGAGCACCTATTCCGCGCCCCCCTTCGGCCTCTCTTCCCACAGCACCGCCCTTCCTTTACACGCCTTTCCTTTCCTTTCCCCCTTCTCTTCTTTGTCTCGACATGGCCGACACCGTTTCGCTTTTGCGGAGGCTGATACTCGAGTCACCACCGGGAGAATGGGCCATCAACCAGCTCCGTGAGCTGCTGATTGGCGCCCTCAAGCAGGGCCCAATCCCTCAGCATGTTGCCTTCGAGATGGACGGCAACAGACGTTACGCCAGAAGTCGCCGCATGGAGACTGTCGAAGGGCATCACCGTGGTTTTGAGGCCTTGGCTAGGGTTTGTTATCTGCTCCCGTCTCTACCTAAGCTATCTCTCGTGGTTAACACAAAGCTGCATCTAGATCATGGAAATCTGCTACAAGTGCGGCGTCAAAGTCGTGACTGTCTACGCGTTTAGTATCGAGAACTTTAACAGGCCAAAGTATGAGGTCGAAGGGTTGATGCAGCTTGCAAAAGTCAAGCTGGAGCAGCTGACAACCTATGGCGATATCCTTGACCGCTATGGAGCTTGCGTCCGCATCCTGGGCCAGCGTGAGTTGATACGCGAAGATGTTCTGGAAGTCATGGACAAGGCTGTAGCAAGGACCAAGCATAACAACAAGTACGTATCGAGATCTTGTGCTCTGTTGGATTAAAGAGAAGCTAACGGCCTGGTTTAGAGCCGTCCTGAACATCTGCTTCCCATACACCTCGAGGGCAGAGATGACAACTGCCATCCGATCAACCGTGCAAGAGTTTCTATCTCCGACGCCGCCCAAGAACACCCCCTTCTCTCCATCGCGCATCAGGCAAAAGATATTGTCTAGTCAATTTGACGGACGTGAGCCACTGCCCACAATCCCAGACGAGCCACTCGACGATGGCGAATACGACGACAACGATTCCTCTTCTACCACCCTGCCCTCGGACTCTCCCGAGCCTCGGTTGCTCACCAGGTCTGGGTCATACGGCTCTACGACGCTGCCCAACCCTGACAGCATCACGGTAGACACCATTGAGCGACACATATACACTGCCGATGACCCCCCTCTGGACATTTTCGTCAGGACGAGCGGTGTTGAGCGGCTCAGCGACTTCATGCTCTGGCAGTGCCACCAGGACACGCACATCTTCTTCCGCAAGTGTCTATGGCCAGATTTCGACCTCAAGGACTTTATTTGGGTGCTCTTGGAGTGGCAATGGAGGCAGAAGCAGTCGGATAGAGAGAATCCCTCGGCCAAGGCGAGGACGGCCAAGGCGCGAAGCATGATGGAGTGATTATGGCGACGATACCCCGTTTCGTTCTATAGAGAGGCATGGCATATTACATCATATCGTATTATTAGTACTCGGCGCTTTTCTTCTTCTCTCTCTTCTGGTTATGGTAGATGGCCCCTTCGATTCTCGCCATGCATTTGCTGCGTTGGACTGTAATCTCCTCTTTGTACCTATTTAACAGCTATGCTTGTCCAATTTACATACCCTCTGTGCCTTTGTCACTTAAATGCATCTAGTAGTCCGCAATAAAAATCAACTGCAATCCAGAAGCACAAAAGAGGCCCCATATGTACGGGCTCCGTAATGTGCACTCAAATGCGCGCGCAATTGTCTGCAGCTCAGCTGACGCCATACCTGTAAACCCAAAGCTCTCTCTCGGAGGCCAGCTTTTTCCGGCTGCCCAATGACAGCTGGTCTCCAGTGCGGTGCGCGCTGTGTCATGCGCCGCTAAGCTCACCAGGAACGGCAGAATCGGGCGGTACGTACCCCCGTATCTCGCGGCGGATGTTGCTCCTCGCTCCCCAAACTCAGAGATACGATTCTGCTGCTTCATCATCACCTTCGCACCGTCTCCACGCCGCCCACGCATGATCTGGCTCTCTAACCTCGGCTTTGGAGCAGGATGGCCTAGGCGGTCCCCAATCAGAGGCGTCTTTCTACTGTTTCTCCCTCTTTAGCAATATCATCGCCCTCCAAGGGCCAAAAAAAAAAAAGTTCGCCCAGCCGCTGTCGCCCCTCTACTCCGATTCCCACAACAATCACCCGTCCAGTCCTCGCCGTGTTCGCAATGAAGTCGGCCAAGGCTCCCGCCGTGGAAGCGCCGTCGCACCGGAGGTCGCAGCCTGTCCGGCAGACGCGCACAAACCCTCCTCGAAGCTCGGCGACCGCTGCTCGCTCCGGCACCAGAGACTCGCTGGGCGGCCCAGTTGGGGACCAGCCCATTGACATCTTTCCTGCCATTACGCACTTTGCCGATACCATTACCGCCCTCCCCAAAGAGCTTGTCCGACACTTTACTCTGCTCAAGGAGGTCGACGCCAAGATCTTCGCTCCCCAGGAGCAGCTTTTCAAGCTTGTCGCCTCCGCGAGGACTTTCGCCGTTCCCGAAGCGCTGGCGAGCAATGACGCCTCCAGCACGACGGCGCTGAGCTCTGCAGCCGCCAACACCCAGGCAAGCTCCAACGGAATTGCGTTCAAGCAGCACCATCAGCCCGTAATCTCGACCGAAGATACCAACGGCGGCGTGTTCGACCCCTCCAACCTCCATCGCCGCCAGCTGTTCCGCCAGACCGCGATCAAGATACAAGAAATGCTCGTGTCGCTAGAGGAGAAGAACCATGTCATTTCCACAGCGAATGAGGCGTTGCAGAGGCAGCTGGCTCGCGCGGAGGATGTATGGCCATATCTAGAAAACGAATTCAGCGACGAAGCGAAATGGGGAAGCACCACACACTGGGCGTACCCCGAAAACCGCAATGGCAAGTCTTCGGCGGCAGCTGAAAGATCCAGGCGCGATGGTGCGGCGGCGATTTCGGCTGCTGCACAGGCCCTGGCAGAACAGGCCGCCGCTCGAAGCGACGCCAGAAAGCAGGCTGTCCAAGCCAAGAAGAGTCAAAAGGTGCATGCCCTTGACTCCGAAGCGGATGATCATGATAGCCGGACCAAGGATGGCAACAACAAGAAAACTAGCTCCAGCAAAGTTCGAAAGACGGCCGATAGCAACAACGTTGGTTTAGGTATCTCTACTGGAGCTTCTTCCAATAACAACCCTCCCCAGAAGAGGCGCAAAGTAGACAAGGAAAAGGAAAAAGAAAAAGACAAGGACAAGGGCCAAGACAAGGAGAAAGCTGTTGCCAGTGGTGGAGAGGCGCCACAGATGGAGCGTGCCATGAGCCTCGTCTTTGGGAACAACTCATCCAAAACAAAGCCCACCACGAGCCCTCGAGAGACTCCAGCTCCAGAGGTGCCCAAGAAACGCAAGGCTCTGCCTACAAGCAGCGGCCAATCCAAGAAAAAGTACGGCCTTGTCTATTCTCATTCCCTACCTCTCTATCTGCTCTTTGACCTAGACTATGGTACTGACTGCCTCGTGCCTTTTTCCAGGAATGCTCTATCCGCTACCATGTCCCCGTCAGCTGCGTCGTCTCCTGTCCTAGGAGTTTTGCCAGAGACAAAGGTGCCAACAAGCCGCCCGTCACCGGCGCCGGCGCCGGCACCCACGCCCGCCCCTCGTCCGACGACGTCCCGCGCGCGACAGAATTCTATACAGTCAAACTCGGAAACCAGCAAGGCCAGGCCCCCTTCGTCGGCAGCGAAGAAGACAAACGGGAATATCCCCAGCACGCCGGAAATCACACCGGCCGCAAACTGGTCACGCCCTGGCCATGACTCGGAACCTAGCAAGGAACCCGCGGTAACGGTCAAGACTGAGCCATCGCCAAAGGAGCCAGAGCAAGTAGAGGACAAGCCTGCGGCGACCCCTATCCCTCCTGCTATTACCACCACCTCCTCCCTCAGCCGCCGGAATAGCAGGGTGGACGAGACGGACCGCAAGAGCGAGCCTACTCAGTCTACATCGCAAAGCACGGGAATGGTCACGACCAAAAGTGGTAGAGCAAGCAAGCCATCCACCCCGGCTCTACCCAGTTTCCAAGACGCGGCCGCCGCCAGGCCGCGGACGACGCGCAATGCTGAGCCAACGGGCAATGGCAAAAAGACTCAGCAGAAGAAGGGCGTTGCAGGAGCACAGGCTCTGGCTCAGCTTGTGGATGAGGACGGAAACAGCAGCATGCAGGGCGACGACGGCGACGAAGATGCCGATGTTGACGCAGACGAAGCGACCTACTGCTACTGTAACAGCATCAGCTATGGTGCCATGGTTGCGTGCGATTCTGACGACTGTGCTCGCGAATGGTTCCATTTGGCCTGTGTGGGCCTAAAGGTTGCGCCAAGTTCGAAAAGTAAGTTTCAACATGACCCTTTCCAATGGTGTTGGACGACGATGCTAACCACGCCTGATAGCCAAATGGTACTGCCCAGACTGCAAGGAACGCCTCAAGATGGGCAGCAAGAAGAATGGTAGCCGATAGTTGAAGGCTCTGACGGCGGAGACAAAGCTGGCAAGGCGTTTAGCAAGGCAGATGCTAAGGCTTGATTGAAGAAAAGCATCCGTTGCCTTTGGAGTACCAGACATTGTTTATGATGCGTTTTTGTGTGTTTTTGGCTGCTCGGCGTTTGTCTCAACGTGTCTCTTCTGTTTCATTCTTTTCTTTTCTTACCCTTTTCCTTCTTTAATTCCCACAAGCATGCAGCATCATGCTCATTTCAACAACCACCACGCGGCGTTTTGTTCACATAGGATTCGGCCACATATCATATCAGGCTTGTTACGGATATCATTCACACTCGGGTTTCCAGCTTCGGATTTACGCAGTCTTTTGCGTGTATGAGACGCACCCTTACTTACGCAAAAGATCTGAGAAGGGGAAAACATCTTGCCGAGGCAGGTACATGTTGGAAGCATAGACAAATATGTCGTTATTGGCGTCGCAATGCAAACTGGGAGGCGGGTTCTTTGGTGGTATTTGGACGGGGGGGAGGGATTACCTGTGACAAACTGTGGACGTCGAAACGGACCAATCGGCAGCAGATTCTTAGTGATGGTGATTCCTCCAAGGTAGCACGCGGTTCTAGACTGACTCTACCAGACGATGAGGGATGCCGGTGGCCGTTTTTGATGTTTGTTTTTCGGTGGTGAAGCTGGGAAACGGATGACGGGATTCTCATTAGGTAACACGGATGCACTAGGTAGCTTCGGCAGGATAGCTCAAAGGCAACTCTGCATATATAGGTCCGAAAGGTCCGCCAATAGACATAATCATTGATGAAGCGACGTGGAGCACAATGTGCGTGATGGAATACGTGTCTGGCCCCATGCTCATGTAGATGCCTGCCTACCTACCCAGGAGGTACTGTACTTAGTAAGTAAATCATGTATGAGGCATATGGGGTAGACGGGGTATATGGGGATGATTTATCAGTACTACTACCTAGGTAGTATAACAGGGAGTAATGGAGAGGGACTATTTCTAGCGACAGTCAGAGGTGTACAGTAGAGGATGAAGCATTGCAGACCAAGCTGAGGGTCGTATTATTACCTCATAAACGAAGCTTTGTGTTTCATTGCTGCTCGTATCATATCACGCGGAATAGAAGTTACTAACTCTGACCTTACCTACAGCTCTAGCATAGGTACTCCGTGTAATAGCATCAATCCCTGCCAACTGTATACCTACATATCTACGTAGCAATACATGCTGTGCCAAGATGGAGATATATTGCCTTGCATCTCAATGGCGACACGACCAACCAAGCACAGCAGATTCCCTGGCAATATACGCGGCTAATACGGCACGGCCTCATCCAAAGCGACCTCTTCCCCTGGGTTTCCTCCTCCGAAACAAACCCACGAATCTGCGGTTTCTGGCATCAATCACCACGAGGAGGCTCACTCACGCGACATGTGCAAGTAACCCATCTTTACCCACCAGCACTAACCAGCTGCAAAGGTCTTTTGATGTCTGGAAGCAATGAAAACTGAATGCTAAATAAGGGGGGATTTTCCGACTGCAACGTGCCCCCCCTAACATCATTTTTGTGTGGTTTTGTTTGTGTTTGTTTAAATCAGGCTGATGGTATTCACACGCCCCCCCCCCCCCCCCCCCCTCCTTGTTCCCCCGTATTTCGAGAGGGGAAGGGGGGGAGCTTTAATTACGTTAAAGTAATGAATATTCCGCGTGCCCTCGTTGGGCCATGGCGGTTTAGGTGGTTAGGTGGCTTTTTGAAAGAAAAAAGTATTGGATGAGGGAAACATTGGCTGGCTGGATGCATGAACACAACCGAGGCAGCATCTTGCGTAATGTAAGTCCGGTCAAAGCATCTCCGGAGTCGACTTGTAACACGCATAGAGTTTTTGAAAACCCATGAAGAAAATAGAAGAAGAAAAAAAGCCGCACATGATTGCCCAGCAAAAAGTAAGCTGACTGATCTCACTGCACAGAGAAGAGCAAAACAGGTGTCTCTTTTCTGCGACAACACTCAGGCCAGACAATAAACGGCCGTGTTAGCGCTCCGCGTGATGCCTCTTCCTCCGCTCATTTACATAACGAAAATCTGGGGAAGAAAATTTCTAGGCCTTTTTCTAGCCCCCCTGTTGAGGCGTCACTAATCCGCTAGCAGCAACATCTGAACAGCGGCCCCTTGCTCACGCTCCCTTTTTTTCTCCTTCCCTTTCCCAGTGTGGGAGGAGGGACCCAAGAGCCGCGCTGACGGATCTGAGCTAGTGGCATAATAATAGCCGGTCTAGCAGAAACAAGAGCGAGAAGGGGGAAAAAATAGTGCAGTAGCATCAAATATTGGAAAAGCGAGTGGTGGACGAGAGAGATCTGGACTAGGGTGGAGGGGAGGGGAGGGGTGGTTCTGTGGCTGTGGCTGTGGCTGTGCGCTTATGTGTTCGTTCGCTGAAAAAAAAAGTGTGGCTGAGGGAGCACCGTTATCGATAACGACTAGCGGCTAAAAAAAATTATGGCAGAGTTTTGCTGAGGGTGGACGAACGTTGTTCGATTTGATGATACTGATACCCAGTTTAGCATCTTCACAATCCACATCAAACAGCCACGATGCGGTACGTCTTCAGGATACGGGTCTCTACGAGGAACAATTTACTGACTGGGCCTTTAGGATTGAGGACTGCAGCTTTTGTGGCCGTCCGGCCTACCCTTCCAAGGGTATTACCTTTGTCAGAAATGATGGTGAGTTCCCGCCACATGGATTTTGTCCCCCCTCCATACGATCTGTTAGATAGCAATGGCAAACTAACCAAGGCTTGCCCTTCTTGTCTAGGCAAATCATTCAGATTCTGCAGATCAAAATGCAACCGCAACTACAAGATGAAGCGTAACCCCCGCAAGCTGAAGTGGACAAAGGCCTACCGCCGCAACGCCGGCAAGGAGATGACGGTCGACAGCACCCTGCAGTTCGCCCAGCGCCGCAACGAGCCCATCCGCTACGACCGCGACCTGGCCACCAAGACCATGGCCGCCATCAAGCGCGTCAGCGAGATCCGCGCCCGCCGCGAGCGTGTCTTCTACAAGAAGCGCATGGCCGGCAAGCGCGAGAAGGAGCTGGCCATTGCCCGCAAGCTGGTCGCCGAGAACGAGCACCTGCTGCCCCGCCTCCGCGGAAGCGAGAAGAAGAGGCTGGCCGAGCTGGCGGCCCAGGGCGCCGACGTGGCCGCCGAGGAGGAGCTGCTGTCTACGCGCAAGAACACGATCAAGGCGTTTGGCGGCGAGCAGAGGAGGATCAAGGTCCGGGTGGACGGAGGCGTGGAGGAAGAGGTGGAGACTTTCCGGGACGAGGAGGACGAAGAGGAGGAGGAGGACGACGATGTCGACATGGAGGATTGAGCGGGAGCGTGGCCGGGCTCGTCACTTTTGTTACGACGGGATTGGCTGCCGTTGGGCTGGCCTCGAGGGTTACAATGTTGTTGGTGGTCTGTCTGGTGATTGGTCAAGACTCGTGCGGGTCCAGCGGCTTTCGTCAGCGTTGGGTTATTTATCGGCGTTTTTAAGGCATATACAAGTACAGTAATGGAAAACAAAAAGTCCTTCACAAGGTTGTTGTTGTTTGGTGCAACCAGATGCGAGTTGGTTATGTTGGGAGCTGCTGCTTTCCTGCAGGTGGTCGGTGCTACGGGGGTTGCAGCGTGATGTGATTTGTGAGCACAAGAAAAAGGGCAATGGGTGAAACCCGTCCGATGGCCTGCAGTGTTTTACGATGGCCGGCAGAAAAGGTGGCTGCATCGCGTATCGAGCGCCTGATGCTTGTGCTACGGAAGCACTTGGTGCTACCAAGGCAGGAAAGCTGCTGTTGCATGCCAACGACGAAGCAAGGGGGGGTTTTGAAGTGTAAGGATGAGGTAGAAGCAGGGAGCGTGTGATGACTTGTTTGTGGGCATCGAATCATTTGTTAGGCAATTCTTGGCTGCAATGTCGCCAGAACATGGAGCATGTTGTACCAATCAGATATGGGCAGGGTACCGGTGCTTTCAACCCATCGATTAATTCCATCAAGTTAATTCATGTAAACTGAGTAGCATTGTCAGAAGTGGTGAGGATGGAATGTATGCCTTTGCCCGCTGGAGAGACATGATTTCAAGAGCAAGGCGATGTGGTTATCAGGCATCACGATTTTGTCTCACTCTGCAGCCACAGGCTCTTTGGGGTTAAGAGAGAGAAAAAGTCCGAGATGCAGAGTTGCCGTTTTGGTAAACTTGCGACAAAGAGAATGGGCAGAGACAAAAATCAAGGTTAAATACGTTAGCACGCCATTTCAGGGCTGCTGAGTGGTCGTGTTTTGCTCTGGCCTGTCTGGGTGCATGATAAGGGTGGGCAGGCGTTGCAATAAAAAAAAAAAGGCAGCGGGATCTGATAAGAGATGCACGGGGATCTGGATGACGTCTGTACTTGAGCGCCACGTCTTGTCTGTTGGCCCTATCCGAAATTCGCATTCCCGTCTGATTCCAGTTTGTCATGTCACCAAAAGACAGGCTTCGTAATGATGCAGCAACAACCTTGAAGTTATTACTCACCCTCCCTTCTGGCAAAGCAATCCTGGAGTCCGACGTCGCAGAGCAGTTGGACAGGCGAGGGGTGTGGATAGCAAAGAAAAAGGCGCCAGGACGGGATTCCATGTAAAAATTCAGCCTCTGGATCTGGGTCCATCGGGCATCGGCTGGCTTCGGTTCACACGGCGGCTGCTGTGCTGCAGCCTTGAGCGGCCATGCATGATACTCGTACTAACGCGCGAAGAAGCTGTGTGTCTGATTCGCCTGAATTGTTGGGCATCGCGGCTTTGGCAAAGGGGAACCTGCAATTGGTGCTGCCGGTGATCCAGCCACGTTGACGGGCCTCGTACTCACTCATACGAGGTATGGGGGATTCATCTTACATACAACGCAGCAGCAGCTGTTAACGCCGGGAACCCACTCGATGTCGCATCCGATGGCCGACAGCGACTACAAGTACGGATA